CCGCCCCCGCCGCGCTTTCCGCGCGCTCTTATCTGGAACGGCCCGGGTCGGCGGGCGCCGCTGCGGCTATGGCGCCACCTCGCGGCCGCGCAGGACTCCACCCGGCGAAGCGGCGATCTCCCTCCCGCGCACCTGGACTGAAGGCTTGCAGATGCGAAGCTGGGCGGAGGACCAGTCCTCAGATTCACCCTCCCAGATGTGCCCACCTGTGGACCCAGGCCTCGGACTGCAAGGACCACAACCCTGGGGTTTTGAACTGCGTGCTCTCGTGCGCATACTTCCACGTACATAGCCCCAGTTCCAAAAAGTTCTGCCGGCAAGGAGGGAATTCTGGTGACAGTAGGTGGTGGGAGGGAGGTTGTGGAAATCCTAAGCGAGATGTAGACAAAACTAGGGGGACTATTTTAGACATACCTGGATGGGACTGTCCACTTGGACCCCACTTTCCCAGCAGAGCCACCTCACTCAGGCGCACGGGTTAGCTATGCACAGCGTAAACCCGTTTGCACGCAGACCCTCTCCAGGCATTGTCACTCGCGAACGCGCACGTTTACACAGACACACTCGCTCCCTCTTGGGGGCCTGCTCTCCGGATACTCCGGAGGCTGCCACGTAAGGCCCTCGGTGAACCTGGGCAGAGGCGTTACCCAGGCAGCTCGCAAGTTCAAGGGACCCCACTAGAAATGGCTAGACAGCGCCTCTTGGAGGTTCGCAGAAATGACCTCAGATTCTCCATGTGAACCTTTTGAGGGATTCCACATTAAGGACTTTTTCTCCAGCCCACCCTCCCGAGAGAAACAGGACAGGAGGGTCTGCAGTTCCGCCCCCGCGAGATCCTACTCCCCACATGCAGGCCGGGTGTGTGCGGTGCCGCCTCTTTTGGAAGGGAGGGGACCCCGCACCGGCGTGCGGGTGCTACTCCGGAAGCTCCAGAGCTGCCCCTCGGCGGTACCAGGCCTGCTGCGAGATCCACGGCCCACGCTCCGCCTCCTCCCCGCACCTCCTGACCCCCGCCCACACGCGGGGAGGGGTCCCCGAGAACGCCCGCAGCTTCTGATTGGCTGCGCGTCCTTCAGCCTCGGAGCGCGAGAGGCTGGGGCTCAGCGTTACCATGTTAACCGATGAGGTTCGCCCAGATCGCGTCTCTCCGAGGCCTTGGAGAGCTTAGCAACCGCACAGCCGGGGTGGGCGGGGGCCGCGCTCACCACCCTCCAGCGTTGTCCTCTGGCCCCCACGGCCCTGCCAGGGGTAATGGCTGAGTCACTAGGCGAGGGGCGGCCGGCACCGCCACTAACGGACCCTGACGGGCACCAAGGTCTCGGGCGCCCCCTAGAGGCCCCTTTTCTCCGCAGGTGGCTTCAAGGCTTTGGTGTCGCGACTGGTCCAAAGGGGTCGGCCCAACTCCTGCCGCGACCTGAGCCCAGCCCTCATCCTGTTTTCACCAGGTCTTCTGAATCCGTTTCATCCACGTCCTTTGTCTCCCCTCGGCGTCCTCACTAGAGAAATAGAGAGCGCCCAAAGATGAAAACAGTGGGCTCCGGAGCTGCTGGCTTCTAGGGAAGGAATACCCCAACATCTCGGCAGAGGGACATGCTGAGCCAGAGAGTGTAGGGAGTGTTGGGGGAAGGTGGGAAGGTTCCTCAGAAGTGATCTTAGAGTTGGGTTTTGATGGATGAATAGGAGTTTTCCCACTGGGCATGAAGACATCCCTGGACAATATAATACTGAATAAAAGGCTGGCAGCAAGTCGAGAGGAGCTCTAGGAGAACAAATCCCAAAGGGCATGCAGAGCCGCTGTGACCCCAACTTGGCTTTAATCTCTTCTTTTGATGGGGTCACATTTTAAAAGATTATTTTATTTAACTTTATTTTAATTGGACCAGAGAGAGACAGAGAGCAAGAGCGAGAGAGAAAAAGTGAGAAAGCAAGCCGCCAGGTCCAGAACTTGAATGGTGGTCAGCCATGTGGGAGTCCAGCACCCTTAACCACGATGGGGTCACATTTCAGCCTCACAAGAAACCTGTCAATTGGGTGAGTCTTCCGTGCAGTGGAGTCTGTTCACTGCAACCCACACCAGGGCCCACAGTGCCCATGGCCTTCGTTTTTATTTTTTAAAGAAATATTTAGTTTTATTTATTTTTTATTTGAGCAGAGAGAGACAGAGAGGGAAAGGGAGAAAGCAAGCCGCCAGGTCCAGGAGTCAACTGCAGTTGGCCATGTGGCAGTCCAGCACCTTAACCATCATGCCCCCTGCTGGTCCCTATATCGTAATATCTTATCCCCTGGGTCCACCCCGCCCCCAAGTGAATTCACTGCTCCAATCCCTGCTAGCATCAAGCCTTTATTGCAATTGTATGGGGAAAGTTTTGGCCCTGCCCCCTGTCCAGGGACAGCTGCTCCCTTACCCTCCTGTGAACTTCATCTTTCACTTTTCACCCTTTTCTCCCTCCCCAGCTGCACCCACCATGGGTCGCGCTGTTCCCTCTCCATCCTAGTCCAGCTCTTCTGAGCTCACCCCCACTCCCCCATTTAGAACCTTCTTTCCTTGGAGGAGCCAGATTGGGCTGGGATTATTCATTTTCCAGCTGCCTTCCAGGGGAACTCTGCCCCACGAGGCATGGGCTCTTCCTGGCAATTCAGGCCTCCAGGAATTCTAACTCCTTCAGAAAGTGTTCCCCGCCACCACCGTCCCATGCTCCTCTGCCAAGCTGGTGGGACCTTGGACTGTCTCTTTCACTCTCCTATGAGCTCAGCCGATGATCATTCCACAGATGAGTCTAACACTGCCCCTGGGTGCGAGGTTCTGGAATTGGGGGCTGCCGACCTGTCCTTGCCTCTGCTAGCTGAGGCTGCCTGATCCTCTCGCCCCTTTTCCTGACATCTTCCCAGATTCTCTCATAAAGAACCTCTTATGCTAATTTCTGGGGAGTTCACCCCGCCCTCCTCAACTTCTTTGTCTTCCCACTGGGGTCTTCACCTCCTGGGTGATTCCCTGCTGGGCCTCCCCTCCCAGGCGTTTCCTCCGACAGAGCCACCCTAGACACGTTCTCCGCCCCGTGTCCGCCTTCAGCCTCCAACACCTCGGCCCTGGCTGGCCCTAAGCCCCTTGCTTGTCCTTCTCCTGCCATTCCCACCCCAAGGACTAGGGGGTGATGACACCGCAGTGGCCTCGCGGGGTGTGACGGCGCTGCGGGGCATCCTGTGACGTAACAGAGCTGTCGGACCCAGGAACAGGAGTGGGGATGGGGGCTATAGAGCGAGGACCCGGGAAGGCCTGCAACGGGCTGCGCCCCACAGCACTTCAGAGCTCCGGAAGTGGAGAGTGAATAAACATTTAATGGACCCGCCACGCCCTCTCTGCACGATCCTCCCGCGGGCCCCCAGCCCACAGTTCCGGAAAGTTAACCCCTTGTAGATCCAGACGGGGGCGCGGGCACCCCCCACCTCGTTCCTGCTTCCCTGCTTCCGCGCACCCTCCTCCACTTCCCAGCTCCCTGTCGCCTCGGTCCCCA